CATGATTTGTGTTGGTCAATAAAGGTATTACTCTTCTATTGATTTTTTTTAAATTGAGACAAGTATTTCTTTTACCAAACTTGCTTCTTGGATTAAGATGAGCTAAGGGTGCTTACAAATTCATTCATGCACTCAAAAACCTTGTAAGTGTCCACTTTAAAAGTGTCCACTTTAACCAATAAAAGAAGCAGCAATGCATTCTGAAGTCAAAAAAGCATCCATAGTTTCTTTGGTCTAATTTTCAGCCCCATACCTCTTTTTCTATGTAGAGACAGAGGCTGCTGCCACACTGCAGAATTAATGCATTCTGACACAATTTTAACTGTCATAGTTCCATTTTATGAAATCCTGGGATTTGTAGTTTGTTGTGACACCAGAACTCTATGATAGAAGCCTGAAACAGATGGGCAGTAAAGTGTGGCTTCCGGCCACCCTGTGGCCATGGCATTTAGATGACACGGACTCCTAAACCAAGCAAAAGCTCTGTTGGGGCCATGCAAGGAGGCCTAAACCTGACCGCAAAAGGAGCGGATTTTATCTGTTCTTTGCTGTGGCCTGTTTGGGACTGCAGCAGCGGCCGGCCTCAGGACCATGCTATCTGGTCGCTGTGGCCCTGCAGTGATTGGGGTGAGAGTGGCCTCTGGCCACTCCTTTTCTTCCATCTGTTTGAGACCAGAGAAAGCTAAATATCTCACAAAATGACAAATTCCAAAATTCCATAGCATTGAACCATGGCAGTTAATGTGGTGTCAAACTGCATTGATTCTGCAGTGCAGATGCAGCCAGAGATGGCCTGATGGAAGTGAGCTCGCTCATCCATCAAGAATACCTTTAATCTCTTTTCTCATATCACACACAGCATCATTTGTTTCTTCCGCCTTCAACAGCAACTTTACTGTCGGCTCCTTTAAACTCCATCCACCAATCAACTCTCTGTTGCGTTTGTCAGCACTTCCCTTTGTTTTTTTTTTTTTTTCTATCTATATTATTCCTGTTTGGCCTGAACCACACAATTTGACAACAGGTTATTTACCATATAAATTTGGGATTTTTAAACCTCATAAATTTGGTAATACACAATTGAATTCCCCCAAACTATTAAGGATAGCTATTGCACTGTCTTTGACATTTTGCCACAGTTTAAATAGGCACACACAGACCCATATGCTAGGGTTTTTGACTTAGCATTTACAAGTTATGAACAGGATGATTGTGCTTGCTGACCAGTGGTTCATGATGCAGGTGGGAGACATTAAGGAAACTACAGATCTTCCAATCCTGGTTTCTTTTGTGTTCACATGCAAACTATGTATTAATAAAGTATGAACAGATCATGTCTTGTCATTTTGGCTTGTCAGAAGATTGCCTACACTGACAACCCCATACTCACCTGGCAGTTCCACAAGCCAGATACATAATGTTCTTGGATTTTAATATGCTTTTTTTAAATTAAAAAAATAACCCTCACCTTTTATCCTGCACTTTTCCAGAAAATCTGGATAATCCTGTGTGTGGCTGGTGCTACAAGGCAGCATCAGGAGATGGAGCCAGGGGGAGGAGTTTTTTGGGGGGAACTAGTTGGTTCCGGTAAGCGTAATGTGTTTCGCCATTTATTTTTTACTTCACTGTATGCAGTGAGTGAGTGAAAAACTAAGCCAGTTACTCTACGTACCTTCCTCTTCTTTCCCCACCATTCAAGCCCACTACCCTGATCAGCCACTTACTCAGGTGGGAAGAAAATCAGATGGGGGAAATGAATAAGAAGGGATACTGTCAGAATTGGTTGAATCCCCCCCCCCCCCAGTCAATTAGCCTTCTGCGAATGATTAGAAAGCTGTTTATTGGTGGAGTCATACAGGATTAGAAGTTATCTGTAAGGCATCTTTGGACAGAACTAAAGAACAAGGACACATACATCAAACAAAAGCTTTTGAAAAGCATTAACTCCACCCTGCAAAACTGGCAGGTTTAAATGTTTCATAGTTCTCAAAACAGTTAGTTCTTTGGTTGTTTTTCCTTCTTTCCTAGGGATGCTTAGCCTTGTTGTGTTAACTGCAGTAGTAGGTGAAAAACAGAGGCCTCCAAAAGCCTTTAAAAGCCGCAAAGGAAAAATACTCCCACACACTCCTTTACCAAGCATTCAACAATCCCAATTAATATAAGCCCTTTCTCTGAAGCTGTCTCAGACTATGTAGTTAACATATTTAAAATATATAAAAGCATCACACATTTTTTATCTATATCACTATAAATCTAATCAATACTCTATGTTATTTGTTTGTTTAACCCATATAACTATTTCTAAAGTATCAAAACCCAGTTCTGCATACCATACCAACTAGTAGAAATAATGCATCACATCACCATAAATCTATAGTTATAGATAACATGATAATTCCAGGCACACACAGGTGAGCCAACCTAGCAACAGTTCTAGACACAGCATCAAACCATCAGGTTTGGATCAAATGCACATCAGTTAGTACATATATCATGTCATATACATCTCAGTTAACACATCTGAGGTATACCCTCCATCCCACAGCATGTTCATATAGAGCAAATCTCCAAGTCATACCATATGATACAAAACAGGATTCCCCCAGCACAATATCATGGTAGGATTAGCCCAATCCTGACAGCTGCACACTTGCTGACTCATTTTCTTGCTCACTCACTCATGTGATGTGTACACAGACATTCACAGAAGTTGAACCAATGTTGATACAAGGCTGATGGGTGGGATCGGATGGGGAAGTGCACTTTCTGGGGGAGGAGGAGGAAAAGGGCAGCCCGATCTATCCCATTACAGTTTATCTCATGGCTCAGCTCGGCTGGGGAGGGGCCAGTAGTCCCAAAGAGAAGGAGCAGGAAATATTTTAATTTTTTTCTTTCTCCATCTTGTGTCTGAGTATGTGTGTGTCCAGAGACATTTAAAGTTCCCTCCCTTACTGATAATCACTCATTAGGGTGCGAAAGGGGATTGGATGGGGGAGGCATCCAATCAGAGTGACAGGCAAACAATAATGGCTATCAGTTTATAGGTTTATGCATGCTGAGAAGGAAAAAAAGTGGAGCAGATATGGCTATGTGGCTGAAAATAATGTGAAGGAATGGAGATGACACCACTGCTCCCCAAACATCTGCTTTTTGGCAGAAATGGGCTGTGGTGTTTGCCTGCAACCCTTTAACACACTGAAAAGATGGTGTGAGTGGGATGAGGCTCAGTGGGAAAATTTTTAACTTTTTTATTTTATTAACTTTATTTATTAACCACATGAAACTATGTGCATGTAAATACATTTAGACTGTGCGTATGGTATTGTAATTTGAAAGTATAATTTGAATTTTGCTAGTTTACATCACAGCTATTCATTACCATTGCATTTTAAAAATTGAATTTTAATTTTTTATAAAAACCCTTAGGCCTCACCTTTCTCCTCCCATTGAGCATCACCCTACTCACAGCATCTCTTCTACTAAGCTTCAACGTTTTAAAGAAATGCATGGAGACACCAAAGCCTGTTTCTGCCAAAAGGCAGATCTCTAGAGAGCGGTGGTATCACACTCCCTTAGAGTATCACTTGGTGCAGCCTGTACCTTCTTAATGACACCCCTGGATAAAATATAGGAGACCAAAAAAAAAAAAAAATGTCCCTAGAATTGTTCTCCTGATTCTATCACAATCTCCTCCAGCTAGTAAATGCTTGACTTTCTCATAAATCATTCTGTTGCTTTGTCTTGCTTCTGTTCTCCCTCCCTGTACTTGATAAAAAGTAAAAATAATAAAGGAGACGAGAGTTTGAGGACAACATCCCCATCCATTATGCACTTCATTCTAAGGAGGCTACCAGTATCGTACTTTGACATGGGTTTGGGATCAAACTACTGCATTCCTGTCATATAATACAAAAACAACACACGGGAATATTAAAGATGACCTATATAGAAAACAGAGTTGCTTGTTCTTCAACAAAAGAATCTCCCAAATATTTTTTTTCTGCAACACTCTCTCCTATTTGGTTGGAAAAACGTTTAGGTGCTGTATAGGTAAAACTCAATGAGAGAGTTTTACCATTCTTGGAGAAAGAAACCTCAAAATGCTTAGCTTCCTCTTGTTTAGGATTCCCCTCTTGTTTAGGATTCCCCTGTTGTGGCTAGAGAAGTTGATCTCCAACACTTGAGAGCTATGAGTCCTGATAGCTCCACTGAACATCTCTTTGATCGCAGTTTGCATTATATTTTGGGAACGGAGGTGTTAGTGCCAAAGAAAAGCAGGTTCATCCAATGCACATAGATGTGATTTTTTTAATCTGAGGCATGGGAGTACGAGTCCCACCTCTGCAAAGGGTTGATTTTGCAGCCTTGGACAAATTCGTCTTCTTCCTCTTCATTTGGCTTATATATTTGGTGTGAAGGCAAACAAAAAAAAAATGATGAAGTGTTTTGGAAATGAGAAATATGATATAAACTAGGAAAGAGATATGTTTGTTTTTCAAGATTGCAGTAATCACCACTTTATAGGGCTGGAGACTATCAAATTCACAACTCCACCAGACACAGTGTATATTTTCTTTGTGAAAAGTTTATCTTCTGCATTGTGGGGCTAGGAGTCTTGCCAGCTCCACTGAATATGGACTTCCCTGCAGTATATTTTAAAAACATCAAAGGGAAAAGATGCCAAAATAATGTCTAAAGGACTACAAGAACAGGTTATGATGATTACTAAATCAAGAGTGGCAACCTTTTCCTATTTGGAATTTTACTCATGTCATTTTAAGAAGTGAGTGGTTTTTGGAAAACACTTTGTTTGGTGAAAAAGTAATTAAAAACTAATATATGGCCTTGTTGTTGTTATTGTGCACTCTCAAGTCATTTCTGATTTATGGAGACCCTAAGGCATGGTTTTTTCTTGGCAAGGTCTTCAGAGGAGGTTTGCCATTGCCATCCTCTGAGGCTGAGAGTATGTGACTTGCCCAAGGTCACCCAGTAGGTTTCCGTGGCCAAGCAGGGATTTGAACCCTGATCTCCAGAGTCCTAGTCCAACGCTCACACCACTACGCCCTAGCCACCCCCTTTTCACCTTCTCATTTCTGACATGAGAGATGCAAGGGCTCAGGCCTGCAGGAAGACTGAGAGTTTTTCCTGTTTGACCAAAGCACCCATGAGTGAAGCTGAGGCAAGGCCACTCTGCCCATGCTCTACAGCACTCTCATCTTCCTTGACACAATTCCTGCGCATTCAAATGCAATTCTAGTGAGTATTCAGCTAAACCTCTGGATTACATTAAGACCTTTCCTTCCTTCCTTCCTTCCTTCCTTCCCCTGGTTCACTGTGTGCTCCAGGCAGCTCTTCTCCCTCCAGGGACAACAGCCAAGACACTTCCCATTGCTCCTGAACTAAGCCTTTTCTCTCCTCGTGAATTAGAAGGCTTTCATGGTTGGCGTCCATCGTTTTTTGTGAGTTTTTCGGTCTATGTGGCCGAGTTCTGGAAGAATTTATTCCTGACATTTTACCTGCATCTGTGGCTGGCATCTTCAGAGGTTAGTGGCATGAGAGTGAGTGGGGTGTATATACTGTGTGAGACCCTTGGTTGGGAGGAAAGGATTTACATGTTAATTTAGGGGGGTTGCAGACTGCCAGAAATAGTGCAAAATGAGTCCATTTTAA